GCCACGGTAACGGTCCCATTTAAAACAAACATTAAGCTGAAACTGCGTAACATTGATACCACTGCTTCACATGTCGCTGTACCCAGAGCCGTGGACCAGAAATGCTAATTATTCAAAGTTACTGAACTCACTGCGGCCGTAGGTCCCAGAGTGGAGTGGATTTGCCTGGAAACGACTCCCAGGGTTTTTATGTCCCTGCGGTTCAACCTCCGACATTCAGATCAAACACAAAACAGAAATTCCCAAAGTACGGAAACTGCTCTTAAAGATGGGGATCTTTCAACACCTCGCTCCGGCTGCGCTGCTCATTTTCAGCTTGGTTCAGGGTTTGCTACGCTAACACGCTCGGCTGGACGGGGTCTTGGGGAAACAATAAGGTATTAGTCAACTGTTCCCTGGGGTTTTTTTTTCCTTTGAGTCGAAAATATTGGATTCAATTGTAAAAGGAAAGAAATAAGGAAGTTGTTTTCTGCCAGAGGTTGGAGCAAGTGAGGGGTCGTTACTCTTTATGAGGGTGATTGGTCTGGCCGACTTTGGCTTTTCTGATACGCTCAAAAATCAGTCTTGCTCAAAAGCTTTGTCCCAATAACTGACAGAAGCGCGGCAACCAGGCACTCACAATGTGCTCCAATCATACAATTCAATTTAATTCATGTCACTTCACTTCAATGTTTTTATAGCCATTTATCACAACAGTAATTATCTCAGAGAATAATTTGCAAACAAAAGATCAGGGAAATGCAACGAAAAAACCACATTGGACAAACTCTGAGGAGCACAGGGACTGGCCTCCTGCTGGGACTCTGAGGAGCACAGGGACCGGCCTCCTGCTGGGACTCTGAGGAGCACAGGGACTGGCCTCCTCCTGGTGCCTGGATTCAGGACTAAAGAAGAAGATGCAGCCTCATTGAAGGGTTTCCACCTCCATATTTCATAATAATAATACATATAATAAGGATCATGCATCCGATAAAATACAGCGTTTTTCCAGACACTCAAAGACGCTTTACATGTCATTATTCTTTCTCTCAAAAACACGGTGGTGATAAACTACTACTGTAGCCACAGCTGCCCTAGGACACAGAAGCGAGAACCAGTCTGTGCCATCAGCCCCTCCGACCACCACCAACCATTCACACACACACCAGAGTCATTCTAGGCGATGGGGGTAAAGTGTCTTGCCTAAGCACACAACCACAGCTTGGCACTTTACAGCTTATGCTGTTCCCAGAGGTCTCCCATCACGGCACTAACCAGGCCCTGTCTTGCTTAGTATTTCACACTCAGTATTTTGCAGTTTTTGTCTTTAGTCCAATGTAAATGATGCTAAAATCCAGTCTCATTCGTCTCATTCGTGTGATTCTCAAACTGAATCCTTTGAAAGCTCATTCTCAGAAGAAACAAAACAAAAGACTATTTTCAGTTAATTCTGTGAGATTGAGCCAAGAAACCTCGGGTCCCGCAGACGACCCGTGAACTCTGGCACCACAGTGACCCGGGTCAGGCCTCCATCTAAAGCCCGGCAGATCTAACAGCGCTGTTATGACGTGTGGGATTTTAGCGTAATTTACCGTAACCATAAAAATGCGATTTAAAGGCCTGCTCTGCCAAGAAAGTCTGACTCGTCAAAAGCAGAACGTTTAGGAACGGGAAACTGAGATATTGGGTATCGGGGGAAAAATGGCACCGCGGAGTAATAACGGTGTGGCATTTCAGAACCACGCACACAGTGACACACGCAGACACCGGGAACAGGCTGAGCAAAGATCAGTTTAAGATAGAATACACTGAGAAATACATGAAAGTAAAAAATATTCAGATTCTGTGACTATTTGGTGCATTGAGAGCGGGTTGGCGGGGTCAGGGGGGTCCCTTCATTTTTCACTTTTCTGACTGAAATTCTGGCTTCTTTACTAAAATGAGATAAATCTACTGTCATCTCTCTCTCTGTAGTTTAAAAATAATAACAATAATAATGAGGTTAATTAAAAGAAAACAAACATGCAATATAATTTAGTCTTTATATTTACATTGAATTAAAATAAAACAAATATGCTACTTAATCTTTACATTTTCTACTGTGTGTAATTGTTACTAGCATCTTAAATCTTACTGTCCCACCGCTGAAGTCGCTAAACCACTTTATCAGCGCCTTTCACAGACCACAGTCACAGCAGTTTACAATTGTGGACGTCTGTCTCTGACTCCACACAGATTTGGGAGCGGGTTCAGTACAGGAGGCACGTTTTTAGAGAAAAGGGAAACCGGAGCACCTGGAGGAAACCTACGCAGACACGGGGACAACATGCAAACACCACTCACTCCACCTGTACCGTGTTATTATGTTAGAAATAGAGGTTATTATTTGATTTCAGTGTAGTTATAGTTATTATTGTTCATTTTTCTTTAACAAATTGACAGGGCTTATGTTTAGACCTTTACATTTGCAGAACAATTCTACCATTTTCACACAGTAGAGATGTTATGTTTATTAAAACATGTCTTTAATGATGTAGGAGCACAAGTAACACAAATAATAATTCTGTTTTTCTATTATTTTTAGCCCTTTAACAGTTTCCTAAACCATTTGGTAGATAACTTTTGGATCTACTTGAGGCTTGGAAGTGAAATCTACCTCTATCACTTAGTTTCACATTTGGTAAAGGTCTGGATTAAAACAAATTTGTGTTTTTAGTTCTCCCAATAATCAAACGAGAGACAAAATAACATGGCTTTGCTCAAGGAGTGAACAGTACAGGGTTAATCACAGGCCTTCACCAAACGGTTGGGATGCAGTTTGAAGTGAACGTGCAGGTGTTCCAAGCTAAAGTGCTAAAGTGCCGGTGTTCCAAGCTAAAGTGCTGAAGTGCAGGTGTTCCAAGCTAAAGTGCCAGTGTTCCAAGCTAAAGTGCTAAAATCCCAGTGTTCCAAGCTTAAGTTCTAAAGTGCCGGTGTTCCAAGCTAAAGTGCTAAAATCCCGGTGTTCCAAGCTAAAGTGCTAAAATCCCTGTGTTCCAAGCTAAAATGCTAAAGTGCAGGTGTTCCAAGCTAAAGTGCTAAAGTGCCGGTGTTCCAAGCTAAAGTGCTAAAGTGCAGGTGTTCCAAGCTAAAGTGCTAAAGTGCCGGTGTTCCAAGCTAAAGTGCTAAAGTGCAGGTGTTCCAAGCTAAAGTGCTAAAATGCCGGTGTTCCAAGCTAAAGTGCTAAAATGCCGGTGTTCCAAGCTAAAGTGCTAAAATGCCGGTGTTCCAAGCTAAAGTGCTAAAGTGCAGGTGTTCCAAGCTAAAGTGCTAAAATCCTGGTGTTCAAAGCTAAAGTGCTAAAGTGCAGGTGTTCCAAGCTAAAGTACTAAAGTGCCGGTGTTCCAAGCTAAAGTGCTAAAGTGCCGGTGTTCCAAGCTAAAGTGCTAAAGTGCCGGTGTTCCACGCTAAAGTGACTTAAAAAGTGATCCCCCAAAGGCTTGAGCTGACCTTTAAAGGGTTGAACTCATAATTTTTTCTTTGTCTTTGTTGTCTTGACGTCACCCACATCTAACTACAACACCCGCCTCCCGCGCTCTCTGATTGGTCGGATGGAATTCAACCGATTGTAATCACAAACACAGGGACCAGACCCAGACGTTACATGCAGGACATGATGATGGACCGGACTGTACGGATGGATAAGGCCGGGGTAGGTGCGAGGAGGACCAATGAGGGCTTCCCTTATTAAGCACAGTGCCTTACTGAACAGAAGCTTTTGCTAACAAAAATGAACCAAAAGAAAATGAATAATTAAAGTAAATACTGTATATTTGTGGCAGGTTCAGAGGAGGATTTCCTGTTAATTGGACGGTTCCTGAAGATTGCATCTGAACTGGAGCCTTGATTGTTGGATGACGCCTGTAGTTCCATGTCAGAGGTGGAAAGTGGGGTTTAGCGTTCATGCTAAGCTGAACATGCTATTAGCCGTGATGACATCATTGAGTCCACGTGTGCGAGAGGCTCAGGACCACAGCTGGTTCTGGATCAGGCCCGTGAGTTGATGGAACGGACTTTAGTTTTCATCAGAGAAAAGGACAGAACGTTCTATTCAATTTACTCTTGTATCGCTCTAGATCACAACAGTGGTTTATCTCGGAGACTTTACAAGCTGTCGATTCGCCAACACAGATCAGAGAATCAAGAGACATTGGTGCATAAGGGGCAGAGACCAATGTCTATTAATGTTGATAAATGTGGTTATTAAAGCTCAGAACTGCCCAAAACAAGTAAAAACTGTTTTCAAATAATAATGATATGTTTTAGTTATAATGCACTTTACATTTCCAGGAAACCTCAAAGTGCTACAGATTAAACACAACAAATCAACAAATCAAATCTGCGGTGTTTGGCAAGATACTTTACTTAGTTACTCCCTTAAGAAAGTAACTTATTTACTTTTGTGTTACTGTTATGAAGCAGGACTGTTCTTTATGTGTGTTTATGATGAAAAACACCACAGAGTAAGTTCCATGGGGCTGTTGTCATGAACACAGCTCTGACTCTGTGGAAACGCTTTAGGATCTAACTCTGAGCCTCAAACTGGACCGGACCAGGACCAGGACCAGGACCAGGATCAGGACCTTGATTGTAATTTTTCTTGTTTTTTTTTTTTTTTATGAATTTAAGAACATGGAAAAACACTGCACATAGAAACAGAAAAAGTCACAATATTATTCACTTCAGTGCAATTCAATGTATTATTGTAGAGCCCGAAATCACAGCAGTCTCTCAGAGGACTTTAAGAAACCGGTGAATTCCCGACACAGATCAGAGAAAACACAAGAAATGCAGTGATAGAAAACACATCGGTCCATAAGGGGCAAAGACCAGTGTCCGTAAATGTTGTGAAAACCACAAATATACAGGAGCTGTGTAAGTACAAAACAAAAGCCGTCAAATTGACTGCTCTGAAAGTTCTAGTGCTAAACAAATCAACAGGTCTGGGAGCTGTGCGGAGCAGATCTACAGCCATGATTCTGTCAGTCTGCCCCAGGGCGGTCGGTGCTGCCCTTCAGAATGTGCCAGAAACGTATTATTAGTTATTGGTATTATTTTGTTCTGTGTGGTTTTATTTCAGTGTCACTTCCTGTCTTGTTCCCCTGTTTATTGTGTGCCCCGCCCTGATGTGTCCCACCTGTGTCTATCTGTGTCTATAAGTACCTTTGTCTATACGTATGAACTGTACCTGTGCTCCTCTCCCCTTGTTGCTGGGTCATTGTCTTTGCTTGTCTTTGACTTTCTAAAATTTGTCTTTATTAACCAATTGTTCTTGTTTTTCTTCCTCCCTCACTTCACCGCGTGACAAGAAACACACATTGAAACACCTCGGGATGAAAAAAGGACAAAAAATATACTTTACCATCATATATTTGTCATTTTTACAGTGACAGGACTCCAGAGTGACCACCGCCGTATTTGCTACAAGTTTCCAGCCTGTCATACACAACCTCTTAATCTTTGGAAAGCTGCAGGAACACCGCAGCCCGCTGCTGTTTCTGCTGTTACTGGAACCACATCGATACACACAGGCCAATGGAACACGGCCCAAAAGTTTATCCACTCACTTTATGTAAAAGGCATAAAACCTGGTTCACAGCATGCGGCACTTGACACGGTGCGGCTCCAAACCACAGGCACCCGGAGAGCCAGGCACAGCCCCACAGCAGCGTTACAACATTACATGTATGTGTGTGTGGCTCTGAAGTAGGCGTGGCAAACTCAGGCTCGTGGACCAAATCCGGCCCGAAAGGCAATATGTAGTGGCCCCTTAGAATGATTATTATTACTAACTTGGTGCATTGATGGTTATGTGCGACCATGGCAAATATACCTCATGCAAACAACCAATTTTTAAGTTATTCTAAAAAATGAACCCATCTTAAAGTAGTTCAATATAAAACAATGTGTCTAACTTTATATTTGGTCCAGTTCTGGTTAAATCTAAACAATAAACAGAACATTCAACTTCAATATATTAGCGAAACTCATGTAAAACAAAAGTATTGTCAAAATACCTTCATAATTTAACAATTTAACTCTTTAGTATAGTTTCCTCAACCATTTTAGTGAATCACTTTTCAGTCTCTGTTTCTACTTGAAGTTTGAAACCGGAATCGACCTCATTGTTGTATCTCTATCACTTGGTTGTAGACTATTTTACCATCAAGCCGCATCTCAACCATTGGTAAAAGTCTGTAATCAACAAACTAGAGGTTAATTTATTTTTTATTTTCGCTGCTACATTAAAATCAGGGTCAGGGTGATTTGATAAGATCACAGCCCAACACCCTCGGGTGAGCGGAGGGCCCGCACAAACACAGTTGTTAGATATCTGGAACACTCACGTGATGTGACGTAAACAATGACATGAATCAGAGAAATGTAATAAAACAAATACTCAGCTCTGTGGTTTAGAGGAAGGTCTTTTATGCATATCAGAAGGACAGGAGTTAGAACTGAAGCGGCACATACGGTCCGTTCAATCAGAGTCTCTAATATTTACAAATGCTGCTTATAAAGCTTTGGGCGACCGGGAGGAGTTAAGAAATGTTCTCCGTAGCATTGACGTGTCCAGTTGGATGATGTCTGTCGTTCACGGTCTGTCTCCATGCTTCTGTGTCAGCGTTGCGATCCGATATTTTGTGAATACCTCTGTGTCTGTGTTTGGTTCCCTGACCCAGACGTGAACCAACATGTTCAGGAAAAAACAGACTTACATACATCTTAGAAAATCAAACAAAGACACTTTACTTTCTTCATTGGACATTTAAACAAAAAGAAATCTCTTCTGTTCTTTCAGCCCTGACCAGTCTGTGCCATCGGCCCCTCCCACCACCAATTTTATTGATTACAGGGAGAGTACATATTAATGCCTGTGTTTGTGTGATTGTTTCTATCTTGTTTTGTTAAACACTTTGAGTTGCCTTTTGTATGAACTGTGCTATATAAAAATAAACTTGCCTTGACTTGTGTGTAACCTACTCTTAGTTCGGTATAGCGATGCGGCTAATACGTGTATTGTTACTGCTTGCGTTGTCAGAGCAGAGTTTATGGACATCAAGATTTAACAGCTTTAGGACACTATTGTCCTAATCATGGTCCATCTCATTTTCAGGTGCGGCCTTTTTGAGGACAATATTGATTATCTTTTCAAATGTAAGTGGTGTTTATTTACAGCGTTGCCTTTTCCATTTCCTTCCATGATGGTGGAGCGATCTGAAATGTTTCACAGAGCCTGGGATTACTTTACCTTTTGACCATAGCTTTTTGCGGCGTGCTCGTTCATGCCGACTTAGCATAATATGTCACCTTTAAAGCTATAAAAGCTAGTATTTTACTGCATCCATAATCATATACTTTATGTATTCTCACACCTGTCACACGGATTGTGGCGCTAACATGGGAAGGCGCCAGTGGAACAAAAAACTGCTGCTTTTTTCACGCATTTCCCAGCACCTATTTTTTTCATTTCACTTTTTTCCTTTTGCAATTTGGCTCAGGTGAAGGAAAACCCTTTTGTGTGTCTGTGTGTGTTTCAGTGTGTGTCTGTGTGTGTTTCAGTGTGTGTGTGTGTGTGTATGTGCGTCCACCCTTGCACTTCGTCACCTCGCAGGGCCGCTCGGAGAAGGCCAGACTGGCAGGCACGGCGCCGCCTACGCAGATGCACCGCCACGTGAGAGCTCGCGGCGACAACGTAGAAACATAACCACATTTTGCAATCTGCTTTTCATCATTCTGCTGATGCCAGAGGAGCACAGAGGCCCCGCTCCAGGCTCCAGCTCCAGGCTCCAGCTCCAGACTCCAGCTCCAGGCTCCAGCTCCAGGCTCCAGGCTCCAAGCTCCAGCTCCAGGCTCCAGCTCCAGGCTCCAGGCTCCAGGCTCCAGGCTCCAGGCTCCAGGCTCCAGGCTCCAGGCTCCAGGCTCCAGGCTCCAGGCTCCAAGCTCCAGCTCCAGGCTCCAGGCTCCAGGCTCCAGGCTCCAGGCTCCAGGCTCCAGGCCTTGGCTCCAGCAGCAGAAGGTGAAAGTGACCATGAGGAGCAGGTGGTGATCACAGATTTCAACACAAGAACTACCAAAGCAGTAGTTCTTTAGTTTCTTCTTTCTTTCTTCTTCATAACCATGTGACTTGTTCTGTTTCTATATTTAGTTTAATTCTGTAATTATTGAAATATCTAACAGACTAAACATTAAATTTAGAAATCTTCAGTTGCTTTCTTTCTTTGGCCCTTTGGATTTGTCTTGGACTTGTCTTGGACTTGTCTTGGACTTGTCTTGGACTGGTCTTGGACTTCTCTTGTACTGGTCTTGGACTGGTCTTGGACTGGTCTTGGACTGGTCTTGAACTGGTTTGGGACTGGTCTCGGACTGGTCTTGAAGTGGTTTGGGACTTGTCTTGGACTTGTCTTGGACTGGTCTTGGACTGGTCTTGGACTGGTCTTGAACTGGTTTGGGACTGGTCTTGGACTGGTCTCACACTGGTCCTCGGACTGGTCTTGGGCTGGTCTTGAACTGGTTTTGGACTTATCTTGGCCTGGTCTTGGACTGATCTTGAACTCGCTTTGGACTGGTCTTGGACTGGCCTTGGACTGGTCTTGGACTGGTTCTGGACTGGTCTTGGACAAGTTCTGGTTAAGCTTGCTTTTGTACCAGAGAAGAGCGAGTCCTAGTTTCCAAATTAACATACTGTTCACCCTTAGCCGTTAGCTTTTTCTCATTAGCATTAGCTTTTCAACAAACTGTTTTGGCTGAATTTAAAGTTGTATTAACCGCCGTTTGCTCTGAATAAAAGAAAGTCAAAGTTTGAGGAAAAAACAAATCTTACAAATTACTCACTTCTAATAAATCTTAAGAACTAAACAATCTTTGCAGGAATCTCTCAGAACACCATTGGATCGAATGGGAGCAGTCAAAAGGACGGCTCTGGAAGTCCTAGTAGTTTCAGAGTCCTGGGAGTCCGAGCGTTAAGTGGATCTTGGAAAGAGTGAAAAAACTCCTCTCGCAGCAGAAGTCCTCGCCTCGTTCCTGAAACTTGTTAAATATTCCCAGTTCGATACTTTGAAACCTGGAGGATTATGTCCGCGGCTCAAAATCATCGGAAAATGCAAAAACGCCAGACCGAAAGGCACATTAGATTTCTGTAATAAAAGTGTGCTTGTCCGTGTGGTGTTAATCCATCATAAATATTAGTTTTATTGCTCCGGTGTAGAGCAGTTTACAGAATCTGAGAGGGTCCGTGATATTAACCACTCTTACGCACGTCTCGATTTTCACAGATTGTGTTTGGAGTGAATGAACGATGACATGTTTTATACGTTGCACAAGTCTCACGTCTGTCTTTCATCTGAGAATGTGAACGCAAACATCACAATGATTCTGGTTTGACTGTAAAGTTTGTGCAGATAAACTTTACTGTCAAACTAGAATTATCTTCATCTTGGTGCAGATGACCGATGTCCAGGAACGAATATAGAGTCAAATACACTGGGTCACACTCCAGTCCAGAGGGTGGCGGTAAATGCACACCGAAAGGTTGTTTGCCCACCGCCGTAAATCCAAAAGAAGAAGAAGACTGAAGTCAATAATTCCCTTGACTGACGTGTTCGAGTTGATGCAGAGGCATGACAACAGATCTCCAAGTTTTAACATCTGTATTTAATTATCTTTACAATCAGATACAGAAATTCCAACAAAGAGGGCTCCTAAAACTATGCATGTCCCTGGCTCGCCCTCGGCTCATTCTCCTGTGTCCTCTCAAGCCAGAGCATTATCAGTCCATGTTCAGGAAGCAGGGGGCGTGTCGTATCAGGCAGGACTTGGGTCCGGCCTCTTCCATCATGTCCCCTCTGTCTGCCGTACCTTAAACAGAATCATTCACACACACTACCACTCCCCAAATTTATTACTTCTTTGAGATAAGGCAGAAGGCTCTCTGGGTCCCCCTCCTTCAGGATTAGCAGAATCCCCCCCCCAGATTACCTATCATTAACTCACCCATGCACTTTGGACTAACAAAGGAACATGGGGAAACCAGGTCTTTTTGCTTTAGGAAAAGACAGTTCAAATCAGGGTCAGCCAATATTCACATCTGCATAGTTAAAATATACAACAGTTTCCCTCTTTTGACCTGATTAAAAAATTAGGTCACAATCCACATCGTCGTTTATCATCAATACTTGTGCTTAGTTCCGGCTTGATATCTGTGAAGAGTTAATACAGAAAGAATACAACACACAACCACATTCGAAACATTCCTTCACAAAACTCTTTGATGACCACCGCTGTGTCATTCTGATTCTTCATCATTAATCAAATTGGTATTATCGTTACAGGAGCTAATCTATTTTAGCAGGTTTCTCTGGGGTCAGTCCCTATACAACGGTATTTTGATTCTCTAATCTGTTGCTGACAAATCGACAGCTCTTAAAATTCTCAAAAATACCTAAATATCTACTTTTGTGCTATATTCAAATTAACCAAAATGCTTTTAAATGTTTTTGAATCTCTGTTGGTTCTAATCTATCTCATTAATCTAAGCTACATTAATCTAGGCTACACTCATGAACATTATCTACTTTTGAAGTAACTACTTTTGGACATAATATGAAGGAAATGGTCTTTTTACCGTTTGATATTGGCCCTGTCTAAAAATAATCTCTATTTTTGAAAGCATCTATCTATTTTACACTCTATTGTGACTCCAAATCTTGGTTGTAGTTTGAGCCAAAGCATATTCCCAATTTTTGAGTTCTGATTGTAACAATTGCATTGGCAATAGACGATTTTTCATTGGCTGGTTCTTGTTCTGCAAATCACTATTCTATGTATTGTATTTCAGACAATTCCAAAAACAACACAGTCGTTCTCCAATATTAAAAACATGAATCTATTCAATTTGCCTGAAAGGGAGCGGGAGGAAGAGAACTATTTTAAAACCGTTCTCTACGATTATATGGCTATGAAATTAATTATTTAATAAACAAAAGCACATTCATGGCTTCTGTCCGCTGCTTATAACTGTTTAAAGAGTTGTCCCAAACTTAATATGTGTAAATACATCAGCTGTTTGTAATAAACAATAACATTTAACCTGTTCTCCAATGGAGCAGCTCAGAGGCTGCATCAAGAGCAATGTTATATTTGAGCTATTTTTAGATTTAAAATTGTGTTAAAGCCTGTCGTTCTATGTCTGCATTTTAATACTACTCTCTATAAACACCTCTGCACCAGTTCCTACAGATGTGGAAAACAGAAACATCTAAAATCTGACTCCATTTGATTCCTTTTTACTTTAGTTATTAGAACAATTTGACCTTATTGATACTTATTTCCACAATAGAACTATTTTGATTATTCACTAGTCTAACTATTATTACTATTGTTTATTCTGACACCTCTTCCTAGCGACCTTTCAACCTATAGCTCCTCGAATCCAATGACATTATAGCTCCAGACTATTTCATTCTATTCTATTATTGTATGATCTATTATCTTAAAGAGTAGATCTGTTTGATGTTATAAGCGCTATTATTTCTCCTTTTAAATTTGCACAACACTAAATTTAGAATGACCCCCTATGGGACAAATATAGAATTTTATTTCATTTTGGCAACTCCGAAAATTACTTAATAATTTTCCCATTTTGCTTTTTTAGGCTGCCCTTTCTATTATTTATTTGTTCTTGTAAATATATGTTTTACACTTCTTTCTAATGATTTAGAAGGTTAAGGACCATGACCACCTATGACAATAACATTACTATACTCCCTCTGTTGGTCGTGGTCCAAAGTATAAAACATGCATCTGTGTGTGTGTAGATTACTGTTCCAATCATCTTCAGTTGTTCCTCCCGGATCGTCCTCAATTCATATTGTGGGCTTTGGTGCCAAAGTAGAGGCTCATTTTCCTTATGATCCATACTACTGTGTTATCCCTGAAGCAGGTGCAGTTTATCTTTCATCTGAAAAACAAACATTAGAACACAAGAAACGCCCACTTTCCTCTCTTCGCATGGTGCGGCCTGTCAATCAATCCAATTGGGCAAAACATAACTGCATTGACAGACGGTGTGTGGCATCAGGGCAGAGGCTGTAGCCAAATACAGACTTAACAATATGTATGTTTCTAATTTTATACTCCCCTAAATGTGAATTACAAACCAAAGTTGTCCTCCGCCCAATGACCGCTCACTGCGGTTGGACCGAATCACTGTCCGGACAAACAGCAGAGGGAGGGGCTCCCAGTACCTTCAGCAAGGTATTCATCTCAGAGTACTTTCTCAGAGTACTTTCCTCAGAGTACTCATCCCAGAGTACTCTCACTTTTACACCTGTTCAATAAAGCTTGTCATCTTTGAATCTCTAGTACTTACACCGTATGCTGTTGACAAAAAATAATTATTCCATGATCACATTAAAACATTACAGAAAACTTTTGTTATTCCATTCTCCGTTCAGCACTCCTCGTCCACTCCCCAACACACTCACAACACCCCACGTTAGTATTGGTCCAGTTTGTTAAGGTCAACGTAGTGTATTGGACATGACGCACAAACATATAACATACACAAACATATAACATACACAAACATATAACATACACAAACATATAGACAACACAAGAGGCCTGTAATTTTAACTTTGTTATATTTTTCCATGTCCAATTACAATTGTCTCATGAGCTATTTTATAGTTGCAACTTTCAGAGCCTGCAGAACATGCAAAGCTTTGAGAGATTTTTCCTAAAAGGATCCATTTCAAACTTTAGTGTTTAAACCACGTGGTCTTTACTCGGGCTTGTCACAAACTGTGTCCCCTATATTTTTAATGAGCTCTTGTTACTAAAAAAAAACTCATGCACGTGCAATAAATGTTTTTCCCTTTTTTTTTTTTAAAGCCAGTTCGGATTCCTTAAAAATGTAAATTAGTTTCAAACTTTAATACTTCACCTTTGTTTCACGTTCATGTGGAGAAAAGACCATTGTTTTATGTGTGTGTACTTGCACCAATCATGTCTCAGATAAACGGCCAACAGTT